GTATCATTGGGAGTCGAAACCCCAGTTATCCCCCGTCGTCCGACCCTCCTGCCATTTACCCTCGAGGTTTCTGTTTTTTAGACAGCTCGAGGTTTCTGTTTGTCTTCGTTTGTTTCAGTTTCTGTAACCCTAGGTTTGTCTTGGATGGGGACCGATCGAGTTAGAGGGAATATGTTTGTTCAGTTTCTGTAACCCTAGGTTCATGAATTTTGGGGGTTGTTTAAATCGTCTTTGGGCTGCAGCATTTGTTATGCCCAGAACTCTGTAGTGTGCATTTTGTGCTTTGGGAATGATTCTTTTGGTATTTGTATGCCGTTTTCTCAAGCTCTCATAGCATCAAGATGATATTTTTCTATAATGTATGTATGAAGTATGAAAACTGCACATTTCTTGTGATATGGTGCGTGAGTGCCATTCTGTTTAGCTTAAGATCTGATACTATGATTTTTAGATGTTTTGATGCTGCTTAATTTATTAAGATCTGATCTACGGTTTTTATCTTTCTAGGCCTATGGTAAGGGCAAATTGAGCTGCAAGTGGCCATTATCAGAATGGGTGAAAGTAACGAGAATATCCAGTTTTCCTGGGGAAAGAAGAGAGCAAAAGGTGGTGCCAAGATGGATACACAGTTCTATGGTTCCTTCACATTTGACAATGTGAAGTACTTACTGTATGACTGTGTGTATCTTTTTAAAAATGGTGAATCTGAACCATACATTGGAAAGATAGTAAAGATATGGCAGCAAAATGAAGCTAAGAAAGTAAAGATTCTTTGGTTTTTCACCCCGGATGAGATCAGAAATTATTTAAGAGGCTCCGTGGCGGAGAATGAGATATTTCTTGCTTCTGGTGATGGCACTGGCCTTGCCGATATCAACCCACTGGTAGTTTGTTCCTTCCTTAATCACATATTTGCATTTTTTAATTGGATTGATCCACATCAGAAATGCAATTTGAAGTTATAATCTTCCTGTATAAAAGGCGTGCTAACAATATGCAAGGAGCAACAGTTTGATTACCACTTTTGGAAGTATATTTGGCAATACTAGACAGAACAAAAGCCTGAATGAGCTGGATCCGGCTTGGTTGCTCATTTGCAAAACTGAGCAGAACCAGCTTGGTCAGTAGAAAGGGGCAACAAGCTAGTTGGGGTCAACAATTACATTTTTTCGAAGCTAGCTGGGCGCATCATTGTTAATTCAGTTCATTTCTGACCTTTCTTACAAGTAAAATGTTCTAATAGCGATTTTTATTGCTTATATTAGGAATCTATTGCTGGTAAATGCACTGTTGTTTGCATTTCAAAGGATGAAAGGAATCGCCAGCCTACCCCAAAGGAACAAACGGTCGCTGATTATATCTTCTATAGGTTTTTTGATGTTGGAAACTGCACACTTTCTGAGCAAGTACCTGAGAAAATTGCAGGGCTGGAAGGTCAGCATTGGATGTCAATTTTGTTCATGCATTACATCACATTAAATATTTTGTTTAAGCAGTACATTATACACACACATATAATGTGCACGTACATATTTAACTACCCTCCTTCTGATGCAGTCAACGTGCTGCTTAATCCTAAAGATGAGCAAGTTATATGTTACCCGGATCAGGATGCGCAAGGCATGGATCAGAAGGTGGGTGCAGGTCTGGTCGCACCCCTTCCGCAATCAGCGGCTAAGATGGAGGATGAAATTCCTGTTGCACCCCTTCCGCAATCAGCTGCTAAGATGGAGGATGAAATTCCTGTTGCTGCAGTTCCCCTTTCCCAGTCAGTGGCCATTTCTCTTCCCCCATCAGTCAAAGAGGTGGATAAAGCTCAGGTTGCTGCTGTTCCTCTTCCCCTAGCAGTTGAGGAGGATGTTCCCAAACCCACACAAAAAGTTTTCAAACGTACACAGAGTACACAGAAAGTTCTCTCTGATAAGATGCCTTCAAAGAAATTGAAATTATCTCAAGATCTCACAACGAAGAATATGCCTTCAAAGAAGTTGAAACTATCTCAAGATCTTACAACGCAAAGTATGGCCCCAGTTCCTGACGTGAAAGTTCGCTCTGTTCCTTTGGCGCAACTACCAACAAGGCAGGCTGTAAGTTTTCTAAATTAGTAAATAGCTGTTGGTGACATATTTCAGAGTGATAAATATAATGCGAAAAAATGGACATGTTATAAACATGAAAAACACAGTGTCAGTGTCGCCTTTTGTGTTCTTTTATTCTTTACCCCGAGCAGTTACTATGTGTTTGCCCGTGGACATGTGAACTGGATGCATGCTCAGTGAAACGAAAAACACGTTGATTGCTATCCAACTCCAACGTATCATAATTTAATGCACATAAAAGGATAAGGTATATTTTGGTTCCTTTTCAGAGAAATAGTAACTTTACTTTAGGCTGTGGTGTGTTTGGAACATTTTAGTTGACAAATTTAAACCAGACAATATGCCAAAGACGCAACACTGGCCTACTCTACTGAAAATTAATAATTCAATGCCATAAAGCAGTCCCTTGAATGGCGAACTGCCACCATGCACTAGAGCAGGTATTTTGGGGCTGTGCCCTTTTTGAACTTACCATCTGAAGTATTATTTACATGTTCAGCTATATTTCTTAAGCATTAATAGATTGAATCTTGGGCACATATAATCGTTTATTTGTACACAGCAAGTAAAGGGGTCTCAAATTTCTCAAATATTTTGCTTTATGGACTGTTCTTTATTTGGCAGAATATTATGTGCTTTTGATAGAGATTTGACCGATGCTATTTACGAGTAGGTTTGACTTGATAGATCATGCACAAAATGCTGTCGTTTACAGTTTGCTACTATCATGTTTACTTTTGTGTGCTAATACACAGTTTGCTACTATCATGTTTACTTTCGTGTGCTAATACACCTTTATGCTATTTAACAGGACAGAAGCAAATGGTTCAAACCACAGGTGAGTGATCTTTTCTTTGCTGTATGGTCGCTTGTATATATGTTGTTGTTGTTGTTGTTGTTGTTGTTGTTGTTGTTATGAAGTATATGTTATATCTGCAGTCTTCACTTGATAAATCGTTTCGTCAAATTAGCATAGTACTAAGATGTAGCCTTTGATTTTCAGTTCTATGTTATTGTCTATTGAATGAAATCATGCTTTGGCTTTCAGTTATATATATGTCATAAACTCACAATCTATATTAAATGTAATTTGCAGCCCTGGCATGAAAAACTAGCACAAGCTGATAAGGAGGGGAGGCTGGTGTATATTCAGAATCTTGACATACGGTTTGGAGCTTCTGAAATAGTGGTACTATGACTATCTTCTTTTTCTGTATTTGGTTGTCATGAAGCCCGAGCTGCTTCTAGTTCTCTAATTGTGTTCCTGGCCTAGAAGGATCATCTACTTGTCTTCTTGAATAGCTTAAGCTTTCTGTTCTGTAGGCCGTGTTTGGCATTGATGTGGATTATGATGATCCAGCTTTTCCAACTGACTCTTTCCTATTATTTTGGTTTGGCTAAACCAACTCTTTCCTGCCTCCATTACTATTTTCTACAGCAGATTATCATAAACAAGTCACCACAGCAAAATCCAGCAACCACAAGCTGAGCTTTACACAGCTGTGTACAATGATTTCTGCCTGCTTAACTTCTACAGTCTCTTACAAAATGTCTCCTGAGTTTGTGAAAAAGGAACTATGTGCTTCTGCTCAAGAAAGCAATAAATAAATATGTTTTTTATTCGATAACAAGTAGCAGCACAGAGAAGTTGAAACTGTTGGGGCATGAAAAAGTTGATTAACTCTGTGCATATCCATCTCTTTTTCTCAAGGATCTTCGTCCACCCTGTTCAGTACTCACTCTACTCGTGCTTTGTTTAGTCTTCATGTTCTTTTCACATGTTATCTGCTCCTCCCGTGTATCGCACCATCAATTTAGTGAACATATCTTATTACGATCATGTTTGCAGGAACTTATTCGTGAGGCACTACAACTATCTTGTACTGCTAAGCCTATTAACCACCCGACCTACGATGATCCTAACAATGGTGAGTGAACTTCTACACAAATACTAACATGTTCCATGTAACCTTATCCAACGCAGTTTAAATAAAATGCCTTTTTCTAATTTGTAGGAAAAGCATATGTTGTATTCAATTCCAGAAATATTGCTGATGAAGCTGTTATGAAAATCAATTCAGGCTTGGTTGTGGGTGGAAGGTAACTCACTCTACTGTGTCAATACTTGTTGGAATGATGAAATGTACTTTACTTCGTATTCAGTGCTGGCATGTAATAAATTTCGTACCAAGCGTTGCTACTGTTTGTTATGTTTCAGTTTCACATGATGGCACCTCAGTTCAAACCAACTGCAAAAACACCGATCGGAACTAACAGAGCTTTATATTAACCAATTGCTTCTGCGATGAGCACCAATATATGTGTTTTACTAGTTCTTTAGTTGGCAAATTAGTCAGGGATTGTGCATGTGCAACGTTGCAATTGCTGGTTATACAGTTTGTATGTGACTGCCACTTTGCACTGTATATAGTTCTAGTATGAAATTAGTAATCTTCTAGTTTGGTCTTCTTTTGCTAACTGCTGGTACTTCTGATTAATTGTATTTCTTGCAGACCCCTTTACTGCAGCAAAGGGTTACTTAAGGTCCCAAAACCAGCTTCAGGAGCTCTGGTTGGGCACTTAACCATCAGTAATCAGAAAATGAACCCAAGACAACGAGAAGAGCAGGTCCTGATGGTGTCCTATAATTAATCCCGTCGCTGTTTCTCCTTTTCTGTACATGATATCAATGCAATTGTTGTTATTTCTGCAGAAGAAGGCTGTGTCGACATCACATTGTTCTCAACCCAACACAATAGAATATGACCTGGCCTTGGACTGGATGCTTGTCCGAGAAAAGCAAGCAATGAAGTTCAGTATACTTCATAAGGTAAATGCTGCTTCCTACGTACTCTCTGTACTTGCGTGGGTTCTGTAAGTTGAGACCTTAATTTTTGCATGTGCAACATCGTTTTGCAGAGGCACGCGGGTGAGAGGAAGTCGTTTGCTCTAAGATGGCGCAGTAAGTAGCTTCTTTGGAGTCGCTTAGCCAAAATGGAATGGGAACCGGCCAGATGGAGTTGTCAACTATCATCCCTTGGAGCTTGGTGTGTTGTTCACCCGAAGCAACACTTCAAGTTTTTGTCACTGGCAACCTTTATATGTGCTGATGGTTTATGTTTGGCTTCGACTGATTGAATTCTGAGGCGGGACTAACTGCAACGTAGGATGTTCTTTCTTTAAGGAGGGAGATGTATAGGGGTGGGAATTATGAGGAACATTAGCTTCAGGAATCAGAGTAGTGGGAAATTTCTCATGACATGTCTTCAGGAGTCAGAGTAGTGCCGTAGAAGCAAGTAGCCCTTTGCAGCAAGCCGGAGGCGGTTTTAGCTTAACAGTAAGCCAGCCAGCGTAGTAACGGTGCCCATCTGCTGCTGCGTGTTTTTGGACAGCAAATTATGAACTACAGTATGTAGTATGTTCCGAAAGTTCAGGGCTTGGCTATCTTTTCTGCTAAATGTACCGCATTCTTGAATGGCCCCACTTGAGTCTGCTACCAGTTGTGTTCGATGATGATTCATCTGTGTTAGTGGCGACTTTTAATTGACCGGCGCCTTTGAATGAACGGTAAAGCTTAGGGGCCGTTCGGAATCACTCCGCCACGTAGCGAAGCGGCATGCAGTTCAATTTTAGCAAGCGGTGAAAGGGGTGCTCCGCCCGCTCTGCTCCCTGGCGAAGGAGCAGAGAATTCCCAAACACAGCCAATATGACGCACCCTCGGTTGAGTTGGACGTGTGCTAATCTGCAGCTGTGACTATGCTGTAATGGCAAGTCCAACGCGGACGGACTCATCAAATGTTAGAGCATCTTCACTTCCCCAACAGGACCCTCTAAGACCATTTTTTATCGCTGGCGCTAAAAAACGGTCTCAGGAGCCCAAATTTCGCCGGTTAGGGCCGAAATTAGCGTCAGCGGACTCAGGCCGAACCCAGCACGCTGGGGGGCGCCGGGGGAAACAATTTTGGCACGAAAGCCTGATGGACCCGCCAAGTCAGCGACCAGCCGTGTCTCGTCTTCCCCATCGCCTCGTTTTCCCGCGGGGAATCAATGCCAAGGCTGCCGCCGGCCAGCCTTCCATTGAGATTCCTCACGGGTGGCGCAATGCGGTGACGCGCCCTTCCCCCTCCCACCACGCGTACACACGTTTGCCGCCCCCCGACCATTATAAAAGCCGCCCCTTCCCTCGCCGGTGGACGCACTCACCCGCAACCTCTGTCACCGCTGACACCCCCATCTTGTCTCTCTCTCTCTCCCCCCATCTAGATCCGCCGATGGGAGAGTGATTTTTCGGCGATAGAGCGGCGGCCAACGGCTTCGGCCGCTGCCACCTGCACGAGGCGGACTACCCGACGCCGCGTGGCATGCGCGTGCCGGGGCGGTGGAGGCTCAGCGCTAGAGGCGTCCCCGTCCCTCTGCAGCCGACCGACACCGGCCACTTCCACGACGAGATCGCGCGTGTTCGGGCCTCCCTACCGGAGGAGGAGCGGGACCTTCCAGAGTACGCCGCTAGCAACCACGTGCACTGGGCGGTGTACTTCCAACGCCGCCACGAGGAGCAGCTCGCCTCCACTAACAACGCGTCGATGAGGGGGCGCCACAACACCGACGGCCACCGCCTATGGTAGGGCACCCCCTGGCACACGCTCCACGCCGTCCTCGAGCAACTCGAGGGTGGCAACGATCCTCCGCTCGAGTACCCGGCGGCCCCGGCCCGGTTCCCCGCCGGAGTGGTGACCCTCGGTTGCCAAGGCACATGGTGGGCATGTCCTATTCCTCCTCCTCCTCCTTCTTCTGCTCATCCAGTCCGCCGACACTCGTGAACGTCAAGGCCGAGCCCGTGGAGACGCCGCTCGGGCGACGCACCCTACGGCGGCGCCCTCCTCATCAACGAGGGCGGCCGTGGCACCTCTGTTCCCTCCTCCACTTCGTCAAGCCGAAGACAGAGCCGGGTCTCGTCGCCGTGAAGAGCGAGCACGAGGACATGGCCGCCAACGAGGAGGCCGCCATCAAGTGGGCGTGCGAGGACTACGTCCGGCTGGAGTGGAGCGCTAACGCCGCGCCCTCGAGGAGATCACTACTCGGCGTCGCAACCGCGATGAGGGCGGCGTCATCGTCCTCGAGGACAGCGACGACGAGGCACCGCCGCCAACCAAACCAGTCCGCCAAGGTGATCCAGGGCAGGGGTGCAGCAAGGATGGCGGCGGCGTGAAGAAGGAGGGCGACGACGATGACGGCGGTGACTACAGCGCCTTCGGCAAGCTCTACGGCCTGTAGGCGGCGCAGTGGGCGGCGGCGCATTACTAGTAGTTGTTTTTTTAAATATGTGTTTTCAATATGTAAAAATGCAATGGACCTAAATTTCGCCGAATTATGTGTCGTGTTTGGCCAAATTTTGGCTGAGTATGGTTTTAAAACAACTGCGTGTGGGGTGACCTGGGGGCGGCGGCTGGGAACCCGATCGCCCCCACGCCGAATTTATCGCCGGCGCGCCCCCATGCGACGCTATTTCAAGCCCTTGGGGGGCCGAACGGCTGGAGATGCTCTCATGGACGGCGATAGCCGATAGGGGTGAAGACTCCAATGCGGGCGGACTCACCAAATGTCACGGACGACGATAGCCGATAGGGGTGAAGGCCCAAAATGGTAAAACAGGGTGCACGGGAGTGTCAATTTTTGGTCAGATGACACATGGTCTTGCATGCATGTGCTGCCCATTCTCTCTCTTCTCTCCTAAACTAATTCATCCATTTTTCCACCTTTGCTAACTTAAAATTACTCATATCTCTTAAACCAAACTTTCGATTTCAAAACATTTTATATATTTGAACTCATGTTGCAAAGACCTTTAAAACAAAACCCATTTTGGATACATTTTAAATGACTTTAAAAGTCATGAAACACATTTCACATATTTCGCCCGCTTGAAATCTTATGAATAAAATGATTTCAATTAGTTTCACAAGTTCACATTTTTCAGTTTTATGTTGTTTTTCCCTTTCAGAACATACATTTCACTTTTCACCGACTTGTTTTAGATAAATCATATCTACTTCAATTGCACATTTTTAAAAGAACATATTCATTATTTTAAAATAAACCTTTTCACATTTTTATTCATATCGCTATTCACTTTCAAAACCTACATTTCACTTTTTTTGACAGCTGAAATAGTTTGAGAGGCTCCTACTGCATATTAATTAATAGGGATCAATAATGTACAAGGGGTCATTTACAAATCATCCCCTTTGGGGATGAGGGTTGGGAGAAAATTCTTATTACAGAGTGTTAATAAAGGAAACTAGGAAGGGTTTTTGTTTCTTTCCCACCCTATAAGTGAGGAGGGACAAATTTTCTTTTAGTCTTGGATGCCAGGAGTCTCTTGATGGCAGCACCCCTCTTTGTTTGTCGTTTCATTCCTTCCAAATGCTCCAAGCAGCTAGAAGAAAGGTTTCCATAAACAGAGGTTTGTTCCAAGAGTTTTTTTGCTGCAACCACCCAGTCCAGACGTATACCTATTCTGCCCCCATCATATGAAGCTCATGCCAGCAATCAAGGCTAAAAGGGCACTTAAAAAAGAGATGTTGCAGAGAAGGCAGCCAAAATTAGTGCCAATGTTATAGTGTCTTCTTTTTAGCATGTTTTGAGTGTTGAGCCTATCAAACATAAGCAACCAACCAAAAACTTTGATTTCCATCGTTGCTTTGGACTGCCAGATCCAGGTGCATGCTCGATTCGCTTGGATGTCCTGTAGTATTTGTTGGCCGAGTAGTGTGTTGATCCCCATACATGCTTCCATACATCATTGACCAAGGGATCCGTGAGCTCAATTTCTGTGGTTTTTTGTTGTAGGCCAGGTGTCTTCGCATGTGCTTGTGTCGAAAGAGATAGGTGAAATGTTTGCCACAGAGAAGTGCTTCCCAAGAAATCTCTCCCAAAAATATCTTCATGTTGTGCAAATGAAAAGGCTCGGGGATGGGTTTTAGCCAGGACATTATCAAGCCATACGTCTTTCCAGAATAGAGTCGTAGATCCATTGTGAGTAGTTACCTGGGTAATCCCATGATAAATTGGCATAAGCTTTGAAGCATCCTGTCACCAGAAGGAGCCGCACAAGTCCATGGCATGTGGAATCTTTTGTGGTGTAATATGCATCCCAGATTAGTTCCGCCCATGGTAGATCCGAGTGATTATAGAATTTATGTAAGAATTTGAGGAGTAACACATCACTTTGTACTTTCAGGTTAAGAACACCTAATCCACCACATTATTTTGGTTTGCATACCATGTTCCATGATGCAAGTGAGTTACATGTGTCACCTTGGTAATTTTTCTTTGTCCAAAGGCTTTTCCTACGTATCTTGTCCAGGAGTTCAATGATGCCAGTTGGCAGTTTTAGAGTGCACAAGGCAAAGATTATGAGGGAAGTTATGACTGAGTTGAGCAGAGTGAGTTTGCCTCCATATGATATCATGTTGAGAGTTGCTGATAGACGTCTTTCCACTCGGCAGACCAGAGGCATGTCATCATGTATGGTTAGTTTAGTTGTGCCCATGGGGATGCCTAGGTATGTGAAGGGCATCTTTCCTACCACACAACCGAAGATGTTTGCTAAAGTGCTGCAGAGTTCTTCATCACAATTTATTGGGATTAATGTGGATTTGTGGGATTTTCAGACCGATCGAGGTGGCATAATTAGACAGAATGTTCTTGATGTTTGTAGCTTGAGTGGGGCATGCAGGCAGTGCAAGGATGGTATCATTAGCGTATTGGATCACCGGGTACTCTTTCTGGTTGTTGCAAGGGAACGATAGACTGGCGACTCCTTCGGAAAATGCATCATTGATCACAGCTTGTAGCAAGTCTGTTGCTAGTACAAAAATTAATGGAGATATAGGATCACCTTGGCATACACCGCACTTGCAATGGAACCGCCATCCAGGAACTCCGTTTAGTAAGACAATAGATTTGCC